GGGACAATGATTGCTTTGGGTCCCAGTGATGTAACGGTTAACCACTTTTTCAATTAGATGGGAAGGGAAAAGGTTCTTTTTGAGAATTTCAGTAAGCTTGGTTATATCCTCATGTAACCCCAACCAAGTGTTGTTGATCTTGTAGGCCCTGTCAACAAGAGTCCTAATGAGACCTACTTTGTATGAGTACCAGGTGAAGCTGGGTTATTAACTTATTATTTTAGCTTCACCTGGTACTCATACAAAGTAGGTCTCATTAGGATTTTTGCCTTTTTGAATTTTACGGGTTGAGGAAATTAAACTGGGAAGCTTATTGGAAACGGGCTTCTTTATCGGGACAGGGTGCTGTTCCTTTCTTTTCTTCCTCACGCTTTTTTGCCACCCAACCCCTACCTACGCCTGCAATGCAGAATGCAGGCTATATTTTTCAGTGTGATTAGACAATAGGTAGTCAGCGGCTGCTTACACAAGTCTGTTAGCACCGCTATTACGTCACTCTGTGCTGTTGTCGCAGTGTTGTGCCTTTTTTGACGAGAAATATGTTCAGTTGTGAAAGACCTTTAGAAGAAGGGAGATTTTTTTACATCAACGAAGGTCTTTGGTTTATTATATGCGAAATAAAATATCATGCTACATAAAATCCCTGGGTATTGATTTTATGCGAGTAGTTCTAAAAATAACATGTAGTAAATATTAATGCGCTATAGATTAGGAGAAGTTGTGAAGGGAAGGGCGAAGCCACAATGCTTATTTATTACCTGTTTTACCCATGAGAGCGTGAGATAAGAGAGAGGGGATATTCACTGATTAAATTTGCAGAAGGCGTTGGCAGGAGAAAACCTGTATTAGGCGGACACCCTCGGGACCCTTGCTTGTGTCCACTTAATACAGGGTGTCCACTGAAAACGGGTTCCCTCAGAATTCGTCTTAAAAGGGTCATATCAATATTGGTCAGTATTAAAGACCTTGAAAGGGACAAATAGCATTCTGGTGAACCATTGATAACTCTGAAATACCGCATTTCCATAAACAATGATAAGTATATGAGGTAAAGAGATTTAAGTATACAGTGACAGTATCTATATTGATCGAATCATGGGAAGGTTCACAAAATCAAACAAGACCAAACATTCTGTAAAAACAAAACTGAATAACAAAATATTGCATGTCTGTGACAGCTCAGTTTGTTGGCAATCTATTAAAACGTGGACAAAAAATCATGCATTCTTTTTGCACTGTCTGTTTTATTCAGGTTTCTAACAATAGAAATGACCATAAAAGTCAAGTTTAAGGTGTCCGTGTCCACTTAATAGAGGTGTCCGTTGAATACAGGTATTTTTTACAGTGAATGTGGGAAAAGAAAAATGGGACTTGAATTTCTGTCCGCCTAATAGAGGGTGTCCGCTTAATATGGGGTCTGCTTAATACAGATTTGACAGTAGTTTTGTTTTTTGCTTGTCACGGAAGGGTTTTGAGTGAGATGTTGTTGACGTTGTTAGCTGTCTCTTATAGTTTTCCTCCTTTTGATGCACTGAAGTTGATACGATCTTGTAAAGAAAACCAGATTAGTGTGAAATAGTTTAAATAGTGACTTTGAACGTTTATTTCGTTTCTATTCATTTAATCTGTTATTTGTTAATTTCGAGTGATTTCCGGTCAGCGGTCGTTACTTATTTAGTCTTGTCATTGCTTACATCACTACTCGGGACAGTACTAAACACGTTTTTCGTTCCCGCTCAAAAACTCTCTCAACATGACCGCCATGTTTGTAACGTTGTTGAACCAAAGTGAAATATAGTTGAGTTCCTATCGCTGTTGTATTTCCTGCTTCCACACATTTTTGGTGCTGGGACCAGGATGGAAGAATTATCGAAACTGCTGGCCTCTAGAAGAGCACACAAGGCATATTTAACCAAGTTAAGACACAAAATCGATGAGACTGCAAAAGGCACAATTACCCACAATGAGATTGCTCTACTCAAGTCACTCGTTGACCAGCTGAAACAAAAGAGACAAACCCTAAAGGAACTTAACGATAAGATAGCAGTTTTACTGGAAACTCCTGAGGAACTCAGAGCAGAAATACTCAATGCAGAGGAACTAGACAGCCTTATCATGGAGAAAGTTTGCGCCACCGACAATTTAATTGAACTCGCCAAAGGGAACCTCGGTCAACACGTGTTGTCTCACAGTCCTGAGAATATCAGTACTCCGTCAAGTTTGCCGCAAGGGGGACAAGAAAATCAACAACCCATTCCATCTATGTCGCAAACAGAACAAGAAAATCAACAGTTCAATTCACCCCTGTCGACTGGAACGTCAGGTAGCGATTTGCAAGGTAACACAGCCGCCTCAGCAGAGAATCCTCCGATTACACCGCCGCTGATGAGTACATTCCAAACTAGTCGTTTACCTAAACTTGTATTGCCATCGTTGAATGGGAACCTGCTTGAATGGCAATCGTTTTGGGACACTTTCCGGTCTGCAGTACACAATAACTCTTCAATCAGTGATGTCCAAAAGTTCAATTATTTGAGAGCACAGTTACGCGATGGAGCTGATAGAGTCATTGCCAGGTTGCCATTAACCAGTGCCAATTATGCTAAGAGTATCCAGTTATTGAAAAAGAGATTCGCTCAACCCCACAAGATCATCAATGCACACATGGAGGCGTTGCTCATCCTTCCATCACCCACTGACCATTTAACTAGTTTGAGGCTTTTCTACAACTCAGTTGAGACACACATCAGGGGACTTGAATCACCAGGGAAGAAAAACAGAAACATATGAAGATATTCTTGTCCCCATCATTCAGAAGAAATTACCTAATGGGATTAAGAGGAATCTAGCAAGACAAAATGGAAACAAGGAGTGGCAACTTGATAATTTGTGCAAAGCAATCTTGAATGAAACTGAAACCTTAGAAGCAGGTCAGAACAATTCTAGTGATTATGAACTCAGTAGCAACTCAACAACTGCTGCTACTGCTGCATTTTTCACTACTTCAAAGCCATATACACCCGTTCTCCCTCCTCTCACTGATTAGCACCCCACCAAGCAAACATGCCTTTTCTGTAAGGGCTAACATAGCCCAAATGATTACAATGTTGTGACAGATAAGGGAAAGAGGTACTCCATTGTAAGTGATGCAAGGGCATGCTTTAACTGTCTTAATCACCATTCAGTATCTAAATGCAAGTCACGGAACCGATGCAAGGTATGCCACCGAAAGCATCACACCAGTCTTTGTCAAAATGTAGAACCACCTCCAGTGTCATCCACTAAACCAGCAACCACAAACAAGATTTCAGGTGCACCCACCACAGACAAGACTGTAGCACCTTCAGTCTCGACCTACCACATTGGTGATTCTGACAGACACATGCCCGTTCTGCTGAAAACAGCTGTTGCTTCTGTTGGAAGTCACAACAACCACATCAGTGTGCACATTCTATTCGATGAAGGCTCTCAATGCTCCTTCATTACATCAGATGTAGTGACCAAACTTGATCTGAAACCAGAAATGCAAGAGACAATATCTCTGTCAACTTTTGGTGGGAACACATCATCTGTTAAACGCATTGACACTGCTACCATTTATCTCAAAACCGCTCAAGAGGAGACCATTTCCATTTACGTGATCATTGTGCCAACGATAGTTGCACCGCTCACTACTTACACTGGTCCCAATGTAAGGGACTTGCTACATCTAAAGGGGCTGTCATTAGCACAAATTAAAGTTGAGGATTCACCTTTCACAGTTGATATTCTAATCAGTGCTGATCATTATTGGGACATTGTGGAAAGCAAAGTTACCAAGGGTCCAGGTCCCACGCAGCCAAATCAAAGATAGGGTACCTCCTCTCGGGCCCCCTGTCCAACAGTAACCATTCAGAAAACCTGAACACTTCTATTTTAAATGTTGTGACTGAGCATCATCAAGAACAATTTGATTTGGAATGTTTCTGGTGGATTGAATCAGTTGGTGTTCAGCCAAACTCCTCAGAAGAAACGCCAGATGCCTTTCCGAAGTATTATCAAGACTCATCTATCATGTTGGAGGATGGCCGGTACAGTGCAAAGTTACCATGGCGACCAGAACATCCCCTTCTACCATCAAATGCAGAAATCACTAAGCACAGAACCCGCTCCATGATCAGAAAACTGACTGCAGATCCTGAGAAACTACGCATGTACAATGACATCATCCAAGAACAACAGTCTCGAGGCTTTATTGAAAGGGTGAACAATCCAGATATGGCCAACAGAGTGTGTCATTACATACCTCATCATGCTGTCCTCAAGGACTCTACCACAACTCCCCTACGCATTGTGTACGACTGCAGCTTCAAACGAGGTGAACAACCCAGCTTGAATGATTGCTTACAGCCAGGCCCTCTGCTTCTCAATGACCTTACTGGCATATTTCTACGCTTCCGTCTCCACAAGTATGTCATAACTACAGACATTGAAAAGACATTTTTACATGTAAACCTAGACCAAGCCAATCGAGATGCCACGCGATTCTACTGGCTATCTAATACAGATGACCCGGAGAGTGAACTCATCGTGTACCGATTCAAGTCTGTTATGCTTGGTGCCACAAGTTCCCCCTTCATCTTAAACGTCACCCTCAACAAGCACCTCACGCAGTCTACAGACCAAGTCAGCATGGATATGCTTAGGAATCTGTATGTGGACGACCTCACCTCAGGAACAAGTGATGATGGTTCAGCAGTCAACTATAACCAAGATGCCAGGAACAAGATGTCACCAGTGGGCTTCAATGTCAGGTCATGAGGTTCAAACAGTCCTGGTGTTCAACGTCTTGCAGCCAAGGATCAAGTCGTTGACACCAGCCCAACTAAGAAGGTGCTTGGCATGCTTTGGAACATAACTTCAGACACTACGATTCTCATGCAAACAAGCAACCTCTACCACTCCGTTGTCACCAAGAGAGAGGTCTTACAAGAAACAGCAAAGGTCTTTGATCCACTCGGCTTACTTCAACCACTCACCGTTGCTGCTAAGATTCTAATACAAGAACTGTGGAAGGAAGGGATTGACTGGGACGACCCCCTTCCACCTTCTCTTGATCAAAAATGGTGTACTGTAGCAAAGGAGATAGGAGATGCAACCAAACTTGAGTTCCCGCATTGCTACTTCACTTCTGATGTCTCTGTCGATAGCAGTGGTACAGAACTACATATTTTTGCTGATGCAAACCAAAAGGCCTATGGAGCTGCCGCTTACTTAGTACAGTACAGCCCAAAAATAATGCACGCATAAGTGGCGCAAGAAGTTCTTGCGCCGCAAGAACACGCAAACCGCCGCAAGAAGTAAAAATGTTGTGTTTTTGCGGTTTACCCGCAAGAACATTCGAAACACAAGAAGTTGAAAACTCTAACCGCAAGAAGCTGCAAGAAGTTGTTGCAGGTCAAACAGTCTGTTCTTTTATAAGTGCCATGTTGGTGGTCGAAATGCTCAGCGTTTGCTCACAATGTTATCCATAAGATAAGTCACTGCAGTGGGAAGAGATATATTTCCAACAGCTGAGACCAGATCTGGATTTATGTTTGCTTATACTTTGAAAATAATATCGAACGCACTCGCTTATTACGTACTCGTGTGTTCATGACACCTACGGGAAAAAAGCCCTTTGATCACTTGAACATTCTGCTGGCAGATTATGCGACAATCACAAAACGTCTCCAAACATACAAACATTGAACTATGATGCAGTCAGTCTGGATTTCAACGCTTTTTGCTTCTGAATGCAAAATTCATTATCATTCAGAAGTGTTGTTGTCTTCTTGCGGATATGTGAGCAAAGACAACTTTCGTTCAAATCGCACACTGAACCACAAAGACTGCGTGTGCACTACGATGTTGTAAAATTTCTTTAAGAACTTTTTGTAGAGTTAGTATTACAGGCGAAAAGCTCTTGCAGAAAATATATTTTGTGTTTCTAAACAAACAGTAATCAAGGAAACTTGAAAGTTGTCTATGGAAGCGTACTTCGTAAATTCTACCCTGTTTGCAATGTGGTAAAACATTACCGGTATAACTATGGTTGTGATAAGCACATAAATGATCTTCTGAACAGTGAATCTCATGAGTTTGCCTTATGCATTCCTCTCATTTTGAAGAGAATCCCATTGAACAAAATCTTTTAAGACAGCATGCACTGATAACAATCATGTTGTGACGCCTTGAATTTGCATAAAGTCTTCAAACATTACTGATGCGTGAAAAGTCACGCTTTTGTCATGCATGCATGTAGTCCT